GCGGACAAGGGGTATGACAATTTACACCAGCTGATATTTGTATCGTTTCTGGTCATCGGAGGCAAGACTAGTGCAAGGGAACTTTTCACAGTTTCATATCTGATAAAACAACAAACACCATATGGTTGTTTGTGCTAAGTATTCAGAAGGAAGAAAAAATGCTAGATTTTCATCCCAGATAGGCAAATGATACAGATGGAACAGTTAAATCAAATAACCACAATTCCAGCTACATTTTAAAGTACAATCACACATTTTATTTATGCCGGTGACAAGTACAATACTATTTGCAAAACAAATGATTGTAACTTAGTTTCATGCTAAACAAGCAGGTTTAAAAAGCAGCTACTTTTTGTTATTAACAACCTGACAACTGGTACATTTTAGATGTTCAATTCTATGCAACTGCAGAGTATTAACATGGTGCCAGTTTAAAGTGAGGAGCTACTGCTGGATACAAGTTAATGAAAATTTGGAAATAGAGCAGCGGTAAGCAAAGTAATTTGAATAAGTACTGGAGAAAAATTATTTTCATATGGAAATAATGCTCCCAGTTGACAAAAAGGGTGAAAAATTGAGCTGTTCTTTGCAAATATAAAAAAAATGTAAAAGATTTAATAACTACAGATGTTTCCATTCAAGGCTCTATGTGAATGTACTGTAACAAAAATAATAGTCTGTTATATATTAGTGATCATCTCACTGTCTCAATTTTTTTTGTCTTTGAAATTCAAATATGTAATAAAGCAACCACATCGTTCGACTGTTTCTGAAGTGTCAATGACTTCATATAGCCACTTAACATAGTACAGGGCTGCATAGACTCACTTTATGCAAAACCCTTATTATAAGTACTTATTTAAAAAAAGAAAGGTGAGAAGATTCAGACATCAAGTTCAGTTGTGAGCAAAGGGAACCACACATCAAAATAGTCCTCAGGCCTCGGCTTTTAGCATATTGTAATTTCTATCACTAAGAAAGTATCCATAAGGCTAAATCCTGAAGGTAGAGCTCTTTTTGGAGTCAAGGGACATTTTGCTTGAGTTAAGGATTTCAGTATTTAACCCATAGAATTTAGAAATGGAGGAGACGACCTATTAGGTTAACTTATCTAAGCCATGGAAGGCAACACAGGATTGTTGCATACAGAACATTAAGGGGCAGATCTTGTCCTGCTGAAGTCAATGAGAGTTTTGCCATTGATTTCAATGAGGCCTGGATCTCACCCTAAGTATTTTGTTTAGTCTAGTGTCAGGTGACAAGCAACAGGGGTTCTATCAATTTGTCTTTCCTTAAAAGTTAATTTCAAAGTCTAACAGATCTCATTACCAAAAACTGTTACATGATATTCACCCTATTTTTTCCTTTCCTCAGTTTTATCAGTTCGGCTCTAGTTATAACCATTGAGACTACCCTAAAACAACTCTTTCCTTACTTGCTTTTTATACTTTACAAACACTTGTACATAGTTATAATATACCTCTATTGTCTTAAGAGTCATGCTATTCCTGTTTAGCAAATTCATTCTTTCTTCATACATCAATCACTACAGTCTCAAGAATTTTAGTTAAACTTCTCTGGACTTCCTTCTAGTTTATCAGCATCTTGACCTACCTCCATATAATAGGAGTGGTCTCATCATTGGTGCAGAGAGGGGGACTATTATCTCCTTGGTACATGATACCACTGCGTATATGCAACCCAACACACAGACTGGCTGTTTTGCTGTTATATTGCATTGCTGTGCATTATCACCTTTAGATCTTTTTCTAGCATTACTGCTTTCCAAGGATCTGTCCCCCATTAAGCATATGATGGTTGGGTAATTTTTTTCCAGGAAGATTAATTTTTCCAAGATGAACCTTGTTTCCTAACTTTCTATCCATACTTCTATGCTATTCAGTTCTGTGCACTTCTGTTCTCTCTAGGTCAATCTGCATTCTTTATTTGTCCTCAGCAAAGACATCTCAAATTCTAGCATGCTAGATTTAAAGGATATTGTGCTCTACCACTGATATAGCTAATGTACAGCTATGGACTTCATTATTACATGAATACATTTTAATAATTTTGTGTCTATATGGTGTCTATCCAGCAGTTTTCTAGCTGTTTCATAACACTTAGAAATAAACACGAAAATATTAAAATGTGCGCAAAAGCCTTTGGAAAAGAAAAAAAGTCAAGACCCTTTTTCTTGAAAGGAGCAAAACACTAATATATTTGTGCAGGATATCAAGAGCCTCAGAAAAGCAGAGGCAAAAATAAAGGCAGAAACTTTATATGCCAACATGCCTTAAAGATGCGTGCCTACTAACGTGAGCTAGTACGTAGAATGTCAGTGTGATAGATGTGGATATGCAATAATGTTATGAACACTGGTCAGTAAGGGGAAGTTACTGTACACTGAGGTTTTAAAACTTTCCTGTATGAATGCACTGATTTAACTTAATAGGGGGGCTGCGGGAAGAACAAGCAAGACGGCAATATACAATGGTCCCAGATAAGCAACTTTGCAGCAAATATCCGGGTCAATTATGAGACAAGGGCATACTTCAAGTCTCTAGGTTGAAGTGACACAGCTGTTTTGCCAGGCTAGGAATCAAATGGGCTACAAACAGCTAAAAAGCTATTTGATTCCTGTGAAGGGGTCATTGAGTTGCCAAGGCTCTCCAGGGAGTGTCAGTGAATTCTACAAGGAGACAAATTGACAGAGAGAGGTTCTACGGAAGAGTCCCCAGGTAGAATATGTTTAAACACCTGGTAAGCTAGATGTGTGTAGTGTGTCCTATTGTTTTTAAGATGGTTTTCTCTTAATTGCTTTTGTTCTAAATAAATGATGCTTTGCTTTAAGGTGGCTTTTGGGTCACTGCTTACCACTGTCACGGTCTCAGAGGGAACAGAATTGCAGGGTGTTGACATAAGTCAGACATGTGGAGGGAAACCATGGTTGTGCAATCCAGGACCCGCTCTGGGGAAAAACACATGATCCCACCCCAAGAGAGAGGGGATGGCTCGAGGACTGGGACTTAGGGAGGGGGTATGCAAGAAGAAATCAGGAGGGGTCAGAGATGCAGTTGCCTGGTAACCGTGACAGTCAAAAGCTCAGTAAGATATGGTGGGATCCAGTCCAGAGGGCTTTAAATTCTCGTTTCCTTGTGGTAACTATTCCAGCTTTAATTCAGAACACTTGAGCATGGGAAACAAAAGGACTATAATGAATCCAGCTAGAAACAGGGTGAGGTCAGAGAGAATGATGCTCGTCCAGCAATGGTAAGGAACCTGGACAACAAAATGGAGGAATCAGAACACGCGGTACAGGACGTGACACCAGATATTGAAAGAATAGAAACATGATGGAATAGCAATCGTGCCTGTTATTCAGGTATTGAAGGGTATGTGCTGCTCAGGAGAGAAAGAAGTAAAAGTGAGTAGCATTGTGTGTCAATAATGTGGTAGACTGTAAAGAAATAAGAAGTGATTGCGTGGGTAAAACAGAATTATTTTGGATCAAAATCACTTTGGTGAAGGATTGTAAAAGACTTCTATAGCAGATTCTTAGGGCTTGATTTGCATATGGATAGAGATCTCTTTAATATTATTATTAGAGCTATAAATACTACTGGAAACTGTGTCATTACAGGAGACTTTAACTTCCCAGGTAAATGGGATGACCTGGGTAAATATAGGCCTGTCAGCCTGATATTGATCCTGGGCAAGATAAAGGAGCAGTTGATGCAGGACTCAGTTAAGAAAAGAATGGTAATTAATGCAAATGAACCTGGGTTTTATGGAAAACAGATCTGGTCAAATTAGTTTGATAATCTTTTTGACGAGATTACACATTTGGTTGATAAAGGTAAGTGTTAAAGTAATGTACTTAGACTTCTGTAACGCGTTTGACTTGGCATCGCATGACATTTTGATGAAAATACAAGAATGATATAAAATTAACATGGCACAGATTAAATGTATAAAAACTAGATTATTATACAGGAGGAACTGAATGACCTGGAGGACTGGAGTTATAGAAGTAAGATGAAATTTTATAGTACAAAGGGCAAGGTCATGCACTTAGGAACTAATAAGAATTTCAGCTACGTGCTGGGGACTCATCAGTTAGAAACACAGGAGGAGAAAGTCCTGGGTATATTAGTTGAGCACAGGAATACTATGAGCCAGCAATGTGATGCCAGCATGAAAGAGGCAAACGTGATCCTAGGATATATCAGGCAAGGTATTTCCAGTAGAGATAGGAAAGTATTAATGTTATTGAGTACAACACTCATAAGATCTCATTTGGAACACTACGTATAATTTTGGTCACCCATGTTCAAGAAAGTGAATTCAAACTGGAACAGGTGCAGAGAAGGGCTACTAGGATGACCAGGTGAGTGAAAGCACATCTTATGATAGATTAAAAGCGCTTGGCTTGTTTAGCCTAGCAAGATGAAGGCTGAGAGGGGATATGATTGCTCTCTACAAATAAATCAGGTGCGTAAACACCAGGGGAGGGTATTTAAGCTCAAGAACAGTGTTGGCACAAGAACAAATAGTACATGAATTCATGTAGGCTGGAAATTAAGACGTTTTCTAACCATCAGAGTAGTGAAGTTCAGGTACGGCCTTTCAACAGAAATAATGGGGGCAAACAACCTAACTAAAGATAAGATAGAACCTGACAAGTTTATGAATGGGATGTGGTTGCCTGTGACAGCAAGGGACTGGAGTCAGTGGATGTCTATACTGCAATTAAACAACCTTCCCCCTCATGGGATCCCAGAGCCCAAGCCCAAATATGCACACCACAATTAAACAGCCTTGTAGCCTAAGTTAGCTGATGAGGGCCAGCTGCGGGTGTTATATTGTAGTGTAGACATACTGTCAATAACCCAGAAGTTCCATGGTCATTTTCACAGAAACTACCTCAGAAGAAGATTTTAATGGTATCTGTTGAACAACAGTAAAACAAAAGATCAATCACAGAAAAAAATTTGACTTACTCGTGTCCACTATTTGCAGATGAAACTGGAACAGCATTGGAATCATATTTAAATTTTCAAACTCTTTTTCTAAAGTACCGCTATATGCCTTTATAGATGCAAAATCCATTTCCAACTTCAACTGCTGATTCTAAAATTGGACAAAAGGTGTTTTAGCTTAAGAACACATCACAGTCACCTAGCAGTACATGAAAAAAAATGACAAAATAATTTCATCTTTTATTCCCAGATTTGAACATTTGGCCCACATTTGCCAAATTGAACTAATCAGATAAATTCAGCATGGTAATGCAAAAGTTACTTGGCTTTTGGTTCTATTCACAAGTGTCATTCTGGTAATTTCATCATTTCTCATTTGTATACAGTGGAATCTGCCCAATGATAGGGGGAGGACAAATTATTTTTTCACTACAAAGGGGCTGAGATTTGCAAATACAAGTGCATGCATATGAACAAGAAAGCTCAGACAGCATACTAAGCCAGTTAATTAAAACTCAGGTACAAATTATCCGAAATTCAAGAAGTTGAGTAATAATGGACATAGTGGTAAAAATGAGAGACAACTGTGTAGGAAGTGATAGAAAAAGAGCAGCAAAGAAAGACCTGAGAATTAAAGTGGATCATGAAAGGAAAGGCCAAAAAGAGATCTGGTGTAAATGAAGAACTCCTTGCTTCAGTGGAGTTGACCTGCTGACAACAGGTCTGAATCTGGCTAAATTTAATGCTGGTCACAAACAATCAAATGCCATACTGGGCCTCAACACTCAAATCGATATGGACATACAAAGCCTTATTCTCAAGAATCCCACTGAAATCAACAGGACTCCATCGGGGGGTAAAAGTCCATATGTCTGTTTGCGGGATCAGGCCCTTGGACTGCATGAACAGGAGTATTACAGGCAAGACAAATATAGTGGTTTTTCTGCTGTACTTGGGCCGCACCAGTTCAGTTCTGGACATTACATACCTCAAAGAATTCAGAGATGAACAACAAGAGTGATATAAACAAACAAGGAGACAGAGCCTCAGCTGGTTTAAACTGCTGTTGCTTCACTGAATTGAATGGAACTGTGCCAATTTACACCAGATCTCAAACGTTTTCAGAGTACAAAAAAAACTCACCATAAAATTCATATAAGCAGAGTAGGATTACAAAAGGAACAGAAACCTTCATGTCTGTGTGCATGCTTAGTGTTCAGACATTGGATTATTTACCTTCAGATCCTCCAGCTGCTTTTTTAAGCTTTCCTGGTCTTCATATGCCTTTGTCAAACTTCTTTTCAGTTCACAAAGTTCAAACTCTTTAACTGTTAAAAAATAATTTTCAATTTAGATTGTAATATTGTCTACACACCTTTGAACAAAAACCATAAAAGAAACAGAACTGAAATTATACTTAACCCTACCTACACCAAAGCTGCCCACCGAGAGTCAATTTCAAAGTTAGAGGTCGCTACATAACAAAGACATATGACAGCAAAGGCGAACTACTATACAGTCACAGCATGCCAGATGACTATCAATGTATTGAAATAAAGACAAAAAATAGTTACTCATCTTTTTGTAACTGTTGTTCTTCAAGCTGTGTTCTATTACACTGTAGTGTATGTGCGTTGCGTGCACCGGTGCATGAGAGTTTTGCCTAGCTGTATCTGTAGGGGCGGCCCCACTCACTCTGTTCCTTGTGCTCCAAAATGAGGGTAAAAGGGCAAAGTCGCTCCTCCCCTACTTCAGTTCCTTTGCACCAGAACCAATGGTAGACTCTGATGTGTCAGGGAAGGAGGGTGAGTTGTGTAATCGATGTATGCAACACATCTCAAAGAACAGTTACAAGAAGGCAACTGTTTGTTCTTCTTCGAGTGCCTGCATGTGTCCACAGTGTAGGTGACTGCCAAGCTGTTACAATGAGGCTCCGAGCTCCTAGGGTAACAGGAGCTGTAGAACTGCCTCCCCTATATTGGTATCCTCCTACAGCAGACATTGCATTATGCCTGGTGAATGTCTGAATCTAAGACAGGTGTCCATAATTGGGACGTTAGCCACAAATGCTGCTGAGGTCAAACATGCTCTGGTCGAGTGCATCTTAAGTTTGTCAGGAGGCATTACTCCTTTGACAGCTTAACACTTTGTAGTGCAGTTGGTGATCCATTTTGAGAGCTTCTCAGTTGTAACAGGATGACCTCTCATAAGTTCTGCATAAGAAATGTACAGCAGGGAAGACACCCAAAAGGGTTTTGTCCTATCCAGGAAAAAGAGCCAATGCTCTGCGGAAACTCTACTTGTGCTTATGCAGAGGATTAGGTAGAGGGGTGGAGATAGAAAGGAACTGGAGGGTATATCTCAATTCCACCATGCTTAGTACACTCTTATCTGAGATGACGGCCTGCCAGGAACGTAGGAAAAAGGACAACCTGCCCCAGAAAGATGGGGACAGATCAATGAGATCCAGGTCAAATAGCATGCTGTCCGTGACATAAGAGTAAAAATGACTAATTTGGGGCCTGTGGCTGCAAAGCTGAAGAGTGCAAGGAAGTAGAAGGCATCGTTTTTCTTCTCTGTGACCTTGGTCAGCCAAACAAAAAAAGGACAGTATTACTGTTTGGGCTGGAATTGAAGACGATATCTTGTCTCCTCTTTGTCATCACCACACAGAGGCCCAAGGATTTCAACACTGTTTGAGTCCACTAGTGTGTGCAAAGCCTTATCTGTTTTAGATGAGAACAGAGCACATCCCTTGAAAGGAAAGTTGTTAATTGTTTGTTGCTGGAATCCTGGAGGTCTGCAGCCAGGAGGATCTGTGCAGAGTCACTACTGTTGCCATGACCCTAGCTGTGGAATCTGCTGCATTTAAAGAAGCCATATGACTGATCGAGAAATGAAACGTCCCTCAGCAATGAGAAACTGGAGTCTTTTGGCAGTCTGCCAGCAACCTCCCAAACTGCCTCCCAGTTTGAAAAACTACACTGTGAAGACACAGTGCCATGGTTGGTAATGTGAAATTATGAACTTGCTGTAGAATAAATTTTTCTACCACACAAGTCAAGCTTTTCGGCATCTTTGTCCCTGAGGGTAGCCTCATCTCTGCCCTACTAGCTCCTCTCACTCACCACAGCCACAACAAGTGAATCTGGTGTGGGATGTAAACGGAACTGTTCAAACCCCTAGAATGGAACCTGATATTTATGTTCTGTTCTTTTGGCCACAACTGGAGTAGAGGCAAGGGTTTACCAGATGGTTTTGGCTAGCTGCATAATGGCCTCACTTATGGGCAGGGCAACCCTCCCTGGTGGCGTGGGATGGAGACTATCAAACAAACAGTTTGAATGTCCAGGGAGGCTGCCATCTTCTTGAGGAGCTCCTGATGTACCTTAAAGTTACCCAGTACCTGGGAGGATCTTTCTGGTACGAGGACCTCATCAGGTGATGAGCAGGATGCCTGCATGACAGGCAAGGGTGAAAGCCCCCAAGGTTGCTCTTGTGGTCCAGGATGGGTTATACTCTTCTGGAATGGGCTGAAAGAAGTCTTGGGCTTGAGATCCAAAGGCTCACTGGTACCAACCGTGACTGGTCTCCCAGTACTGGCAGGAGATGACTCCCTCCTGGAAAGCCTACTTGTATCAGGAAGTGGTGAAGTATATCTGGAACCTGGAGGCATCCCCTTGGGCATCCAGTAGGGGTACTGAGGGCACTGGTATAGGACTGGGCCCTAGGCAGATCTGCCCCCCAAGCATCCCAATCCCTGGCTAAGGTCCTCTCAGAACCCTGTCTGAGTGCAGGAATGGGAACGTGAGGAAGCTCTAGACTCTCAGTACCAGGATACCTGAGAGCCTACTTTGGAGTCTGATGAGGAATCAGAGTATTCCAGGAACCAGGAGGGGTCCACGGTTACCAAGAACTGGATCCATGTCAAGGATGCAATACTGGAGGAAGAATGGATGGCTTCCTAGCCACCAATAAAGTGTGGCATGGAGGAGCTGGTACCAGCCCAGAAGATGTAAAGAGTTGGTACTAGGCCCAAAGGTGATGGAGCCTGACTAGAGTGTTCCAGTGCCAATGGGGAACTTCACCTAGCCCAGATGAGGGTCCTCAGCCTGAGGCAAGGGTGAAGGCAGTACTGGCAGCCACAGCATAGCCTCTGGCCTACTTGGAACAGATGTAGGCTGCTGACCTGCAGGAATCAGGGATAACCACTCTGTTGCAGCCAATGAGGTAGCAGACTCAACAGTCACTGGGAGGACACTGAATTGACAGCTCAATTACAAGGTCCACTTGTATGAGCCCATGCTAGGAAGTAGCGAGGCAAAGGTACTAGACTGACCTTCTGTAGAGGAGTTCCACATTCTAGACTTTGAAGAACTGGATACTGATTTCTTCTGAGGCTGAGGCTGTACTGGAGGTAATAATATTGTCCTAGTGATGGGGATCACCTCTGGCTCCAGTTTGATGGCATTTAATATAAAAAAAAAGACTTCTCTCTACAATTTATTTTTCAGAATATACAACTTACATTTCAGAAGTCTGAAGATAAACTCCTGCAAAAAACAAAAATCAGATGAAGCAAAGTTCTTCTGGGAGGTCAGGCCCCCAAACTGAAACACATCTGTAGAGTCAATTTCTTCTTCTGACTCATCTTTTTCCTCCTTCTCTTTTTGCAGTTTCTGATGTTTAGAGAATTCAGCCATTTCTTTCTCAAACTCCCCTGGACAAAATAAATAAATAAAACAATTAAATGGGTTTCAAAAATTAACCACTTCTTCTAAAATCAAAGATGTTGCAACACATTCCACATTTTTGGAATAACAAAGATTTGCCTGAATATAGCTGAAGTTTTTATATGAAGTAAAACTTTTAGATGGTACAGTGGTGAGCACTAAACAGTCACCACATACCAATAGTTACCATGCAACAGCATTCGACATTTCCTTACACACAGAAGAGGGAAAAATAGTCAGTTAACCTAAATACAATGTTCTGGTTAGCTGTTGATGTGTTCCTCTCACCCCCTTTATTGGTGATTATACTTTGTTTTATTTTTTTGACAGAAATAACCTGATATTATATAACATTTATTAGAATAGCAAAACTGATGTGTAAAAGGGACCTTATGAATTCAAACTGAGCCAGTAATTTACATTTTGTTAAATCATGGAAAAAAGAGACGATTCCCACATAAAGCTTCTCAGAATAGCTGGCCTTTCAGACGTTATCATCAGACAACCCACTTAAACTATCTAATAGACTGGATTTCAGACCCCATACGCAAGAGCATGGCTGTGCATGCTGCAGCCAGGTCTCTCCATGATATCTCTGAAATCGGTGAGCTTTATAGGCACTGAAGTTCAAAACACACTTTCAGAGGTCATCTTCTAGTATAAACTCACAAGTATCAGTTAAATATATTTATCAATTGGCAGTAGAAAATTTTTGGTATAATAATAATAATTGGTCTGTCTTGGAAATACTGCTATACATGTACTTTAGTAGTAAAAAAGAGTAAAATATTGTTGATTTTGTACAAATATATGTATATGGACTTCTGTTTGAAGCTTAGCATTACATACCACTAATAAGTACATATGTCACGACTTATTTTTCCCTAGAGGGTTTTGTGCTTTGTTTTTTAAAAATTACTGTAGAACCAATAGCATTATTATCAGAGTTAAGTTTATTTTGTTGCGATGCCATATGCATTTCCTTTTCTCAATAAGGATAATGTATTCATTATGTGGGCACTTTAAGATTTACAATGGAAAGCAAACACTCAAATAAAAGCAAATAGATTAATAAGGAAATGCTTGGGTTTTGAAAGTGATATGATAGACAAGTGTCCTGTTCACACTTAACACCCTTATCCTGTTAAAATCAAAGTGGAATTGCCTACTCATTATTTTTTAATCTTTTATTTTGTGTGCGTGTCACAAAAAGACAAATTGTTGTGGAAAGACTAGGTCACATCAAATGGAAGGAGTGAACAGTACTTGCCAAGCTATCAGTGGTAGGAAACCAAAATCCTAGTTCTCCGACTAGTACTGAAATTGTAAGAAAACTGTGTCAGAGAAAATGAAACAGATTGCTTGGTACATTTGAAAAGATGGTAAAAATCCTGGATGAGCAAAGCATGCTCCATCACAAGCAAAAATCAGAGTCTCCTTGCTTTGGTCATCTATGACAAGGGCCATCACAGAATAGAGTTTTGTGCCTACTTTTAGAAATAGCAATTTCTTGAACATTTTATTATTCCTTTCCTTGAAAGCTGCCTGATGCATAAGCCGAAGTTCCTATGAATTAGAATTTTGTGTGGTCACTGGGCTGCTACAGGCAAAACAGATTATACAAAATATTAAAAACTCACAAAATTATTAAGAAAAATGAGTCACTAAGTTTTTAATTTCTAAATACACTTAATTATTACAAAATAATTAAAACAAATTCCAGTCAATGAAAAACGTGAAAGCATGATTTTTCTTTTTCGGTTACAAAGTATATATTTGAGAAAAATCAGTCTTATAATGGGACACCGATTATATTAGCTATGAAGAGGCTATATGCTCTAAGAGCCAGCTATTTAATGCACTAGATATGTGTACCATCTTATATTAGTACCAATACCAGTTGATAGTCTGTTTGAATTGCAAGCTAGCTTGATTAGCATACAATTTTAACACTACCTGTTAAATTCTGTAAGTGTTGCTTTCCCATAAGGTGTTCTTTCTTGTTATGAAAAGAACTGAAAAACTGGTTACATGTCCGACAATACAGGTCATCACTTTCATCTCTCTGTTTTGATGAAAGAGGCAGAATAGAGAGAATTAGAAGGATCTTTCAATATCTGCCAAATAATGAGTAATTAAGAAACATTACCTACTGCAATCAGAAAAACCAAACCAAAACAAAAAAACCCTGAAACCTCCTTTGCTCCTCATACAAACCAGATCCCATCAAGGCATGGGTCACAAAGAGATTTCACAAGACAATGAGAATTATGTAGGGGGTTTTTTTTGGTTTCAGGGCAAATCCTGACTCCATGGGCACAGAGGACGCAAGGGACAGTGATACTAGTTTAACTGGACTTCATCATGGGAGCTCCTTTGCCCTGTCACTCCAGGGATATTCAAGGCTGCAGTGGGTGAAAGTGGAGGCTGGAGAATCCACTGTTATTCGAGTCTTCTAGTCCCCCTCCTATGGGCTTCCACCCCCAAAGCAGTTCTGTTGCCTGGGGTTCAAGATTCCTTCCACTTTTTCTCATAAGAGATCATCAGTACTGATATAAGTTACTTGGTCTATGCAGAGGATTTGGGCCTAAGTGGTTTTATTGCTTCCTTTAAGGAAGTGCTGAAATGTGCAATAATGTCAAAGGAGAGCACTATTATTGTCTTCTTGTTTACTGATCAAGGCGCTAAGCTGATAACAAATAAATGTGCTGTAATGAGGGTTAGAAGTCACTAAAACAGAAGGTGGGTCGCCATAAAACACATAAACCAGGTGTAAAGTGCCACCCTGGGAAAAAGATACTTACAGTTATTCAAATGGATGGTGCAGAATTAGCGCCGAGGCACGTACACAGTGAATGAAATAAGAAAAAGTAGGCTGCCAGAATAGAGAAATGCAGCCAAGAGAGGTTCCTTTAAGTGTGACAGAACGACATGCACAATAGAACAACTGACTAAGATAGTCCATGTAAAGAGTCACTTTGATCCTGTGGAGAGAGACTGGCACTATGAGTATGTAGAAATGGTTTCTACTCCTAGTTCTTCAGCTAACTTGATGGCCTACGTCAGGTCACACACTTAAACATCCTCTGGCCCTGTTTCTTTATTGGCAAATATGCAGAGTAAAACGACTTACAAGCCATTATTAGCAGTACGTTTGAAAAACAACTGAGTATATTCAATAGAGCAATTACTTTCCATAAATTTTTGTCACAACTTTTATGTCCATGTTCGAGTGAATGCAGATTTCATGTTGCCACAATTCCAAGTAAAATAATTTGGTTTTGCTTTTTTAAAATCAGACAAGGAAGTTATGTGCAATGCTGATTCATGCACTGAGCATCGTCCATTGTGTGCACTGAATGAGGAAGAATCCTAAGGGAAAAGTGATCATTCAATTAAAGATTTATTATAATTAGTGCTTCTGTTTTTCAGGGTTTAATAATTTCATTTTGGAGAGTTTATTTTTAGCAATTTTTGAGAGTTTTATTCAGATGTCCAAAAATTGGGGTTTTTCGGAGCTCTCTCTTTGTATATACTGTATTGAATAATGTAAATTTTATACGTTACTTACGACAGCAGAATATACTAGTATGAGTAATCTCTTTGTAAGTGTTCCATAGTTCCCTTTAATGTAGTACTATTTCTAATAGCACTACATTAAGTGCACTAAGGAACATTTAGGCTAGTCTAGACTGCACATCACTTGCGGCAACATGTTGTGAACGCGTTGCTACCCCCCGCATTGAAACGCGGGCTGCGTCCACACCGTGGCATGTAGCTACACATCAGTGAAAGGCTCGGGGGGGGGGAGACGGGGGAGGGGAGGGGGAAAAGGTTCCAGCAGTGGGGGACACACTGCTAAAATAGGCAATGCTTGGGTAAGGAGAGTGCCGTGTAGGGAACATAGAGACAGGGTTCAGGCATGCCTTTCCTTGCTTATGTAGTGCCTCACCATCTATGCAGCTATTTATACCTGTGCCAGGGGAGCATGTCGTGGATGTACTCTACGCCCTGCCAAAAGAAGTGTGCAGTGTAGATATACCTTCAGTGTGCACCAACAGGGTCTACACATGACAAATAATGCACAACACATTAGTGCACTTTATCCCTGTCATAAACAATTACTGGTCCACATAGACAAGCCCTTACGGTAGAACCTCAGAGTTGCAAACACCTCGGGAAGGGAGGTTGTTCGTAACTCTGAAATGTTTGCAACTCTGAACAAAACATTATGATGGTTCTTTCAAAAATTTACAACTGCACATGGACTTAATACAGCTTTGAAACTTTATAATGCAGAAGAAAAATGCTGCTTTTCCCCTTTATTTTTTTAGTAGTTTAGGTTTAACACATGACTGTATTTGCCTTTTTTTTTGGGTCTGCCTGATTGTGTACGTCCGGTTCCCGATGAGGTGCGTGGCTGACTGGTCAGTTTGTAACTGGGGCGTTAGTAACTCTGAGGTACTACCGTAGATAAAAATAGCCATTTCTGCTGTTCATTGGATAAACACCAATTTCTTTTTATTTTTTATACTGGCAGTGTTAAAATCAAAATCCAGAAGCCCTCATAATCATGCATGCACACAAGGAGGTAGAACTAGAGTTGCAAAGACAATCTTAATTCTGGCCTTTCCTAATTTTTGAGTGCTTGTGTCATAAATATAAAGGGAAGGGTAAACCCCTTTGAAATCCCTCCTGGCCAGGGGAAAGCTCCTCTCACCTGTAAAGGGTTAAGAAGCTAAAGGTAACCTCGCTGGCACCTGACCAAAATGACCAATGAGGAGACAAGATACTTTCAAAAGCTGGGAGGCGGGAGAGAAACAGAGGGTCTGTGTCTGTCTGTGTGCTGGGTCTTGGCCGGGGATAGACCAGGAATGGAGTCTTAGAACTTTTAGTAAGTAATCTAGCTAGGTATGTCTTAGATTATGATTTCTTTAAATGGCTGAGAAAAGCATTGTGCTGAATAGAATAACTATTTCTGTCTGTGTATCTTTTTGTAACTTAAGGTTTTGCCTAGAGGGGTTCTCTATGTTTTTGAATCTAATTACCCTGTAAGATATCTACCATCCTGATTTTACAGGGGGGATTTCTTTATTTCTATTTACTTCTATTTTTTATTAAAAGTCTTCTTGTAAAAACTGAATGCTTTTTCATTGTTCTCAGACCCAAGGGTTTGGGTCTGTGGTCACCTATGCAAATTGGTGAGGCTTTTTATCCAACATTTCCCAGGAAAGGGGGGGTGCAAGTGTTGGGAGGATTGTTCATTGTTCTTAAGATCCAAGGGTCTGGGTCTGTAGTCACCTAGGCAAATTGGTGAGGCTTTTTACCAAACCTTGTCCAGGAAGTGGGGTGCAGGGTTTTGGGAAGTATATTGGGGGGAAAGACGCGTCCAAACAGCTCTTCCCCAGTAACCAGTATTAGTTTGGTGGTGGTAGCGGCCATTCCAAGGACAACGGGGGGAATATTTTGTACCTTGGGGAAGTTTTGACCTAAGCTGGTAAAGATAAGCTTAGGAGGTTTTTTCATGCAGGTCCCCACATCTGTACCCTAGAGTTCAGAGTGGGGGAGGAACCTTGACAGCTTGACTTTGTGATTTGTTAGCATTTTTTTAGAATAGTTTTTGTGTGAGTACAACACTGTATGTCGTTATTAAAATAAGCTAGCTGACATTAACTAGTTAAAACTTATCAGCTTTCTCCCTCCCACTCTCACCTCAAATACAGTTTCCATGTACTTACATCTATTGTTGACAAAGCAAGAGCTTCATTCTCGGATCTACTTCCTAAAGATACTGTTCCTGATGGAAAAACCAAGTTCTATTATTTTAACTGTAATACAGAGAACAAGTCAAGCAACTTTGGAAAAAAAATTCAACTAATAACTGGTCTAGTGGTGCCCAGGTTTTGCCACAATATATTAGTGGGAATCTTAAGGGGACCATCCTTTTATAATGTGATAAAAAATTCTTAATGTTTTTTTTCAAAGGAAAAATACTTGTTTCCTTCAATGGGATTAGATTTTTAAGCACATTAAAATTAAAAAGCACACCAAACTAGCATAAGATCTACATAAAGGTGTATTTTTTTAAAGACACTTCTCTGAATCTTCATAAATAGCTACTTGCCCTCTCTATCATTTTCTTCCTCCAGAGGATTTGAAAGGAAGTGTCCAAGATTCTCTCTCACAACTCCCTAACAAAATATTAAACATAGCATGACATTCCTTTAACAAAGGTTTTTTTAAAAAATTGCTCAAGTCGCATCACTGCCGATATAGTGTACTGAACTGCTCCCAGCGGAAAGAAGCTTGCTGTGTTAACTGCAAAGATAACTACCAAAATTACTGTACAATGCAATACAAGCAATAATGCAAATGAAGTGCCAGTCTTTTTCAGGAGCTTTTTGCACAGGCAATAGAAACTTAAAGTAATTCTATTTAGCAATCGGTATTTACTGATATAATACACCAAAATTCTAATCTGAATTACAGAATACAGGGTCAAGGGGTTGTAAACTTGAATTACAGGATCTGCTGTAAGCACTGCAATGCATAATTGAAAAAGAATAGGCACAAGCTGGGGAAATTTAGGGTGTAAAGATAGACAATTGCTGACAACTCAGCCCCTTTCCCCTCTCTTGTAAGAAGAGGTGCACTGTTTTAGCAATCTAGTATTTATTTCCTTTCTTCACTTTATTCCAGGGAGTGTCAGTTTGCATCCGATAAAGTGAGCTGTAGCTCACAAAAGCTCATGCTCAAATAAATTGGTTAGTCTCTAAGGTGCCACAAGTACTCCTTTTCTTTTTGCGGATACAAACTAACACAGCTGCTACTCTGAAACCTGTCAGTTTCTAAAAGTACATTCAGCCTTAAAGCCTTAAAGGAGGTAGACAGTAAGTCTAAAGTAGATGATGATAAATAATAATAATAATTAAAAGGCAAATCAGATAAAATGTAGACACTAAAGCACCTCTTTCTTAATCTACAATATCACACATACTTGCGTAAACAATCATTGCCAAAAATTTCTTCAACTGAGACGTTCAACACATCCACAATATATGTCTGCTTTCCTTGAATTTTAAGGCTTAATAATTATGATACTATAATTAATAGCCTGATGAAATTAAAAAAATGTAGTAACAGTGAGATGTTTTCAAAACCTGGGTCTCCCAGAACTCTCTTCCTAGCAATTTTAGTTAGGGTATGAATGGGATATTCCTTCATTTCTTTAAAATAATTAACATTTATAATTCTCTAACTTACCACACAGGGTCTTCACTTTGTGAACTGCTCTTCTCTCTAAGAAAGCTTGATAGGCTTCAGAGTCTTGATAGGCTTTCAATTCTTTCATATATCTTTGCTTATCCTTTTCTGCTTCTTTAATATATTTCTGCAAAAGAGATACAACACTTGCTATAATATGCCTCTTCTAGTTTGCTGCCTCTTTTAATGCTATAAGATGATAATGAAAAGGCTTACTTGCTTTCCTGCTTGAGAAAGTTGAGACCACTGAGCAGCCAGCATCTTGGTTATTTCAGTAAAAGGCAAATCTGGATGTTTGGCCTTCGTTTTAATTCTCCGCTCATTCAAGAATATTACATACCTAATACCAACAGTGGGCAATATATCAGCAATTAACAATACATAAACTAGTAAGATTCATTTGTGCTTACATATATATTTCAATATATATGTGAAATACTGCCTGGTAGTTAATCCTTTATAAAGTTATGGAACTGGTAGTTATACAACTCCCACATGGCTAAGTGAACCTTCCCTCAAATCATTATAAAGAAAAATTCCCATATGGGTACACAAATCTGCACTAACCTATAGACTGCAAGGACACATGACTGCTCAACCTACAATACATTCCCTTTAGCCATATCAGTTTATCCCTGCACTTTTGTATTGGTGGGATTAATAAAAGGTGTCCATCAAAATGCAGTTTGAGGATTTCTAACATTTCCAAGCTATAAATATTTAATTGCCCTCAGAGACCACTCCCAAAGCCTTTAGGATTCTCTAAATCTCTACAGTTCAGAGCCCCAAGTTGCTTTAATATACTGCATACAAGAGCGCATATTAAGAGAACAGAAAATTATCTGAACAAAAAATGCTATTATATAACACACTTACCCTGTTGTAGGGGCTTGAGGAGCTGAAAATTCCTTTGGAGGTTTCCTTTTCTTCCCTTTAGGCCAGCCACCTTTTCTTTTCTGGGGAGAGAGGGGAGGTAAAATACTTGGGACTACACTACCTTTCATTTGCAAGCCTCAAAGCAAAGTCTCACTTTGTGAACACATAGGACTACCATTTAGTGAACTATTATAATAAGATATGCAGAGCAGTTACATGGGAACTTTCACTATACCGTCTTCACATTACTACTATTTACAATTGTATGAAGAACAATTAAGGTTAATTAGAATGTTACATATGCCCCTATATGAGGTCTCATATGCTTAATGTACAGCTTGATCTCCTTCCATTAGTAGTCACTTAACAACATATTTTAGTGGGTTGTTACTAAATTATACAAAGTTTGTCCAGTCCTGTATTGTTACTCTGAACATGTACCTTTGGCTCACTGGAAGCTTGATCCTTTATGTCCAGATGTCCTGCTAACACAATGTGTTGCAGGGCGTGAGATGGCAGATTACGAGGATACACATGAAGTATGTGACTTCCTGAAGGTATTCCTCTGACTCCACCTGGAGAAAAAAAGGGCTGTGGTGTCATTAAAGTAAAAAAAACAGCCTTCAGATATCCATATTTGGAAAGAAATTTCTACTGACTCATACTTTAACTAGGCCATCCACAGCTCAGTCATGGGTTTGAAAAAACTGTGGGTTGTTTTTATTTTTAAGGGTGCCTCTGGTAAGCATGGACTAAAAAAAAAAAAGCCTTATCTAACCTTTCTGTTTGATCTTCTATAATGGTCTATTAAATCCTATTCTCATAGGATTTAGGTATAATTATGCTGCAATCACTGTAAAGCGGATAGAACAATGCTGGCAGTCACATGGTATTTCACCAGGATATAACCTTTGATGTAAGATGAATTTCACTGTTAATCATGTTTATGCTGTTATAATCTATTATTAAATGTTTCCACTATAAATGGAAATAATAAATGTGAACATGACACTGAACAGTGATTAATATGATGCTTTTTCCAAATATTAGGGCTGTCAAGCAATTAAAAAAATAACTGCAATTAATCGCATTGTTAAACAATAATAAAATATCATTTTTTAAAATATTTTTGGATGTTTTCTACATTTTCAAATATATTGATTTCAATTACAACACAGAATAAAGTGTACAAAGTGCTTACTTTATATTATTTTTATTACAAATATTTGCACTGTAAAAAACAAAAGAAATAGGTTAACTGAAAAATACTAATACAAGTACTGTAGTGCAATCTCTTTATCATGAAAGTTGAACTTACAAATGTAGAATTAAGTACAAAAAATAACTGAATTAAAAAATAAAACAATGTAAAACTTTAGAGCTTACAAGTCCAATCAGTCTTACTTCTTGTTTAGCCAATCGCTCAGAAAAACAAGTTTGTTTACATTTGCAGAAGATAATGCTGCCTGCTTCTTGTTTACAATGTCACCTGAAATTCAGAACAGGCTTTTGCGTGGAACTATTGTAGCTGACGTCGCAAGATATTTACATGCCAGATGCACTAAAGATTCATATGTCCCTTCACACTTCAGCCACCATTCTAGAGGACGTGTCCATGCTAATGACGGGTTCTGCTCGACAGTGATCCAAAGGAGTGCAGACCGACATGTTCATTTTCATCCTCTGAGTCAGATGCCACCAGCAGAAGGCTGATTTTCCTTTTTGGTAGTTTGGGTTCAGTAGTTTCTGCATCAGAGTGTTGCTCTTTTAAGACTTCTGAAAACATGCTCCACACCTCGTCCCTCTCAGATTTTGGAAGGCACTTGGGTCAAGTGCTGTAACTATCTTTAGAAATCTCACATTGGTATCTTCTTTGCATTTTGTCATATTTGCAGGGAAAGTGTTCTTAAAATGAACAACATGTGCTGGTTCATCATCTGAGACTGCTATAACATGAAATATATGGCAGAATGCGGGTAAAACAGAGCAGGAGACATACAATTCTCCTCAAGGAGTTCAATCACAAACTTAATTAACGCATTTTTTTTAAACGAGCATCATCAGCATGGAAGCATGTCCTCTGGAATGATGGCTGAAGCATGAAGAGGCATCTGGCATGTAAATATTGCGATGCCAGCTACAACAGTGCCATGTGAACGCCTGTTCTCACTTTCAGGTGATGTAATTAAGAAGTGGGCAGCATTATCTTCCGTAAATGTAAATAAACTTGTTTCTCTTAGCGATCGGTTGAACAAGAATTAGGACTGAATGGACTTGTAGGCTCTAAAGTTTTACATTGTTTTGTGTTTGAGTGCAGTTATGTAACAAAAAAACTACATTTGTAAGTTGCACTTTCAGGATAAAGAGATTGCACTACAGTACTTGTATGAGATTAACTGAAAAATACTATTTATTTTGTTTATTATTTTTACAATGCAAATAGTTGTAATAAAAATAATATGAAGTGAGCACTGTAAACTTTGTATTCTGTGTTGTAACTGAAATTGATATATTTGGAAATGTAGAAAAACATCCAAAACATTTAATAAATTTCAAATGGTATTCTATTGTTTAACAGTGTGATTAATCGTGATTAATTTTTTACATCACAATTAAAATTTTTTTTGAGTTAATCGCGTGAGTTAATTGCGATTAATTGACAGCCCTACCAAATATACAAGTATCAACATTCTTTACCTCCAGATAACTTTCCTACTGCTAGGGAAACACTGAAGTTTATTTGATTTGGGAATCTTAGAAGAAATCCCTTTGTTTAATTCTTGGTCTCATAACCAAGTACCAGTGGTGAATACTGTACATGTTGAGAAGATATGATACACTGTCACGGACAAAGGGTACTATAGCGTACTTGTCTGACCTCTGTCCAATTCCATTGCTCCCCTTGCCAGTATCTTCCCACCTGGAGTGGAAATGACACAACCCAAGGGCTTCTTCTGGGGAAAGAGAAGTTCTCTTGCTGGAGAGCGGAAGCCATAATAGCAAGTGGGTTGAATGTTGGAGAGGAGACCACGGTAGTCTATTATTCACCTCTCAGCTCCCTTTAATCCCCCAAAAGAACTGCTCCTGGTGAGGGACAGTGGGCCTGATTTCAACATGGACTAAGTTTCCAATGGTAGATCCAGTAATTAGGGAATAGGGAAGGGCAGCTTTTTCGGGGGAGGGGGGCTCTCTCCTATTTTTATGGGCAGCTTGATTCTTCCCCCCACCCCTTGCAGCTCCAAATAGGACTGATTTTACCAGACTCCCCCCACTACTCATAAGATGAGGTGAGTCCTACAGGAGGCAACCCCTGAACCTTCCCCAGAATGAAACACACCTTGTTGCCAGGGCAACAGCAGGTTTAAAAAAAATCCTTTTAGTAAAATAGCTCCTTTTATTGTGCATATTAGCTTAAATCTTCAGGCAATAGACCACAAAACTGAACTATTTCTATTCTTGGGCACTATTTTACTGATATGGCCTTTGAAGATGATCCATGTTTGTATTATACACTGACTGTATGTAAACGCAACTATCTAGCAATGTTATACTGTATTTCTAGAACGTCATGTTAGATGTAACTAACTAAAAATCTTGTGTTTATCACATACTTTCAGAATATGCATTCCTTCTTTTTTACTATGATCTATGCAACGTGGGCATTACAGCCCATAATCAAGACTCCAAAACATCTTATTTTAGACAACGACTCTGAGCAGCTCAGCTATTCAATTTATTGATTCAGACAAGGTCTCTTTTCAGTCTCCACTGGGCATCAGATGCAGTTTTAAAAGCCACAAAGTTTATAAAATGCATCACTGAAAGGCTGTCCATCAACAGTAAACCTAACCCACACTGCAGTGTTCGCACTAGAGATAAAATACTGTAGGTGAAAATGAGTTTCCTTATACAAAGTCAGAAGCAATAGACAAAGAAACTAAATTGTAGTTTTATTGTCAATTGCATTACAAGCATTTAAGACAGACAAGTAGTGTAAACAATGTATCAAAAGTCACACAGTACCTTCTGTTTGTTGTTCCAACTCCATAGCTAGTTCTATCTATCCTATATATGACAACGCATCTCTATTGGCATTTGCAGCAATACACAGAATTCTGTGGGGAAAAGATATTTCTTATGCATTAGAGCTTCAATACACAATTACTGTTACTGTACAAAAGCTGCATAATAGTGTGAAATTTTATAAAAATGCTCACACTCTCTTTGAAGTCAATAGAAACAAAACTAAGAAAGCAGAGGGCTTTTAAAAATCCCACTCATCAATTATTAGCCTGCTTGGACACTAAGAACTCGCCTACACTATAAATCTTTTTTGTACTGGTATATTTGGATGTAGCTGCATAGGTGAAAACCTCTAGTGTAGACGAGCTCTGACCACAGAAATCTATATCAATATTGCGTATATACAGAGATAAATACAGAGACAAGGATCACAAGCCAAATTCTCCTCTCATTTAATCCTGTGCAACTCCCACTGGCTTCAACAGAGTTTTTGTGGGTGCAACAGAAGAGAATTTGACCCAAAACCTTCATTCCAAGCCTGATCTTGCCAGGTGCTAAACCCACACATCTCCCACTGATGTCAGTACTTCATAGATCAAGACCTCAGTGATGTTTTTTTGAAATGCAATCTTTAGCAACTACTGAACACTAGTAGCAAAAAAATAAAGAGAGTGCTTGATGTGACAAGAAAGAAGACCTGATGGTAAAAATTTAGCACACATGCTGTTGATTTCAGCCATCAGAACAAGTACATCTGACTGCTTCAACATCTTCAGCAGCAGTACCTAAGACTGCCATTAAACATTGAGATTAGTTAGATTTTTTTTAGGACATTCATTTTGTCTTTTTTTCTTGGCATCCAGAATTTTTATTTCATTTTTAAAAGGAGGGCGATTTTCCAAATTGCCCATATAAAGAAGAGCTCTATACCAGAGAGACCCCAGTCTTAGGGCAAAGATAGAGTTCCATCCAACATAACAGTCCTTGAAAAAGAGGGAATGGGGGAAAAATTGGTGTTTAATTTCTCCTGTTTTAGAGACCCAGTTCAGCAGCCTTTCTCTAGCAGAACTCCAAACAGCTGAATGGTGCATTATGTATTAAAACAAGCTCGAGTGAGCCACAGATACAAGTCCTTGGGGATTTTCTTCTTAAGCAGCATAGTAGCCTCTATTTTTACCTCTGTAATCCTTGATCTCTTTTTATTACAGCTAATCATCTAAACATACAGATCTATGTTCAAGAGAGCCATGTATGTGGCATTAGAAATCAATCGTCATAGGATGTATCTTTGACGCAGATATTGCTTCTCCTCAACAATGGATTAATATAACTCTTCACTGGTTTCCCCTTCAGTTTACTGTGTATCATTTCCAAATGCTTTATTCCACTATTCGGCAGCATGGCCACTGATTTTTTAAATATGTTAACGTCACTATCAATTTTATGTGATTCAGCAATGTACAAAGACGTGGCTTGTCAGACTTTGCTTAACTCATCTGTTCTACGTACATAATACATGAGAATGCTTAGCAAATTTTAGACTATTTGCAAA